ACAAATGCTGTTTATGAGTTAAGGGAACCTCAGGTAAGTGGCACAATGTGCGCATATTGAGTGACTTCGAGGCAATCGCCGCCGATGACTATTGCAATGCCTACAGCGATTCCCATTTCGAGTGCGTCTCGTCTCGACTTGAGCTGCGCGAACTAATTTTGATACGCGTCGCGTGACACAATTTCCAAGTGTCCAAGACGAGCGGCTGGTGGGAGCGGGCTCCGGCAGCCATGGACGGCCGGCCGTCCAGGGGCAGCCAAAGGGGCACAGGAAGTGCTCAGACTTGGTGCGGCTTTTGACTGAACATTAAATGGTAAAAAAAAGCTCATAATTAATATGGAGAACGTTGACAGTTGTCGTAAATGGTGAACCAACTTCCGATCGACAGCTCAACGCAAATTTGGCAGAACTCCCTGGACGTGGCCAGTGCGCAAGGGGGCGGCCGCGAGGCAGGGCGTCAGAAGCCTCTGCTGCAGGTGCCTGACGACTTGAGAATTGTTGATGCGCATGGCAAGTGCCACCTGTGGCGGGGCATAACAAACAAATCAACAAGAGAAGCAACAGAAAGGCAGAGGGTTAGTGTCTCTCTGTGCGTGTGTGTGTGTGTGTGTGTGTGAGAGAGAGAGAGAGTGCGTGTGTTCAAGGGAAATGGAGAAGCAAACGAATAAATACGAAATGTCAATGCAGCAAGCAGTCAATTTGAATACCCTAACAAACTCTTGGGGTCTTATAAACGGGAGCAGTACCATCTTGTATTAATTTAGTTTGTTTGGTAGTTCTCATGAAGTATTTTTATGAGGTAATAGTCATGCGTTCTGCGTGGCTCTATGTTTTACTCTCCCAATCTCAATATCAGCCTCTCTCTCTCTTTCTTTCAATTTCTTTCTCATAGTCTTTAAGTTTCTCTCCCACTCTCTCTGTCTCTCTCTCTTTCTCTCTGCCTCTCTCTCTTTCGCTCACTCTTGTTTTCTCTCTCTTTATCTACTATAACTCTATCATTCACAATTTTTCTAAATTTCTTCTAAACATTTCCTTAAAATTTTCACTTTTTCTCTCTCTACCTCTCTCGTTCTACATTTCTCCCACTCTCATTCTCATTCTCTCTTTTTTAAACTCTCCCACTTCCACATTTTTTCTATTCCTTATATTTCCTTGCCTTTCGCTCCATCTCGCTCTTGCCCTGGTTTCACTCAAAACGCCTAAAACTTCTATAGACTTTACAGTCTCTTAACATTGTGACATTACATAAACCTGTTGAACTTAATGCTCATGCTTAACATAACATTCTCATGTTGCTCATATAATCAATAGCGGTTCAACAACTTTCAAATCAACATCGCTCGCAACATTTTGAAGAAATGTTCAAGCGTTACCAACTTGTTATCAAAGTCGAGTTACCCCGCAACGCGCAATCCAACACTTACTGAAAAATGAAAAAAATAACAAACAAAAAAAAAAAAAAAACGAGTGAGAGAGACGAAAATAAATAAAATGTTGTTGGAAGGAAATCCCATTAATGACAAAATCGATAAATTAATTTGTTTTCATCGACAAAACTCATAAATAAATGTAAATAAACAAATCACACACACATGCACACAGACAGCAGACACACACATGCACACAATGTGCCGTTAAGTAAAATATTATCTTGTAGTTTTTGTTGTTTGCATCATTGTTGCTGCTGCTGCTGCTGCTGCTGCTGTTGGTGCTGCTGTCGGATTTAGATATATGAAATTAATTAAGCTCCATTCCAATTCCCAGACAGAATCAATAACTTAATAAATTGCTTAATAAAATGCGCGCACAAACGCAGCGGGTGGTGCTCGGTGGTGCTAGGTGGTGCTTGATGATTTTCATTGTAGCTTCGCTTGCTTCGTCAATGAAGCTCTGTTGACATCTTAATCAAAGTTTTTAACTATTTCTTTTCATCTTTTATCACAAATCCGTTGAGGTAAAGTCCCTTAAGCCTTCCGCGAGCAATTCTATTGAATGCAAAATCAGTAGACTTTAAGTTTCTGCATCTTGGATATCTTGATATTCCGTAGAAGCACTTTGATCTTGGTTATCTAGATATAACTTAAGGGAATTCGTATGGGACTTTTTGCAATATTTCTATACCAATTTTGCCAACTCATGTTGTGTTCTATATCTATATTCAATTGAGGCTGTTCATAATTTGAATAATAGATAATCAATAATATATAAGTTTTGCTAGTTTTGTGTAGCTTTTTATTACAAATTAGTTTTGATTTTATTAAAAATTATTTTTGATTTTATTGAAAATTATTTTGATCTATTTCTTCTCCCCTTCAAAAACATTTTATATACATTTTTTTTCTCGAATCTTATCATAAAATTCATTGCCTATGATCTTCTTCTAAAACTCTTTCAATACCTTATTTATTTACCAAATCTTTGTTCAGCCTCATCTTTTGATCCTCACACTCTTCAGTTTTTGGAACAAGAAGAAGTCCCAACGGCCCAAATCTGGGTTGTGGCACTATTAGTTTATTATTGGCTCCTCATTTTACACAAATTCTTTTTTTACATGCCCAAAAATCGAGGACAAGCCAAAACATCTTCAAGCATAAAAGCTGTTAAATATATTAAAAATGTTCGAGCCATACAGGAAGCAAAATTATACGTAAGTCGTGGAGGTTAAGCCTTCGCGATACTTCTTGAACGTACCTCGCTTGAGTAAGTTTTACATAGCTCTTCACATAGGCATGACATAAAATAGCAGAAAATTGAGCATTTGCGCAGATTAAACGACTTTGCTTTGTAATCAATGCATGAGCTCAGCTCTAGAACATTCTTCAGTTTCCTCTTCCTGACTTTGCACATATAATTAACATAGCTGACATAGTTTCTATATCAATTTGCATTCCAATATTTCAGCTGGATTTTCAAATATATTTCTATCAGCATTCACATATCAGAACTTTAGTTGACATTTAACTCTAATTTAATTTCACAGATTTCTAATTACAATTCGTAGCTCTTTGAAGGCCGAGCAGTCGTTACCATTTTCCAACACGTGCTCAGACATTTGCTTGCTTTTCACATGGCACTAACTGCAGCATTTATCAAGTGCTTTGTTTTGACTCTCGCAGCTTGTTATCAGCGGCGGCAACTGTAAATGGCATTAATGCAGCAGCAGCAGGAGCAGCAGCAGCAGGCCGCAATGTGACAAGCGGATTATGCAATCATATATTTAGATAGATGCTAGAGATAGAGCATCAATTGGATGCTGCTGCTGCTGCTGCTGCTACTGCTCGCAGCCCGGAAAAGTCAATCTGAAAGAACTTCGGGGAGCAGCAGCAGCTGAGCAAATGAAACCGGGGTCCAACAATTTGCCACATTGATATTTAAATATGCCGTTGCATTAATCATGAAATTACTCCAACAAAACAGTGCAGCTCGCAGAGCATTTAAATGCATATTAATGCAGCAAACGAGGTATCTGAGCATAGATTAGTCGCCGCGTGAATACCCTAAGTTCCATTTGAAATGGATAATGGAAAAATATTTGTAAAAATATATCGAATTTTTAGAGAGCAGTCAGATAACATATAAAAATTAATTTTTATAATAATATAGTTCAATATAGATGTAGATATATTAGCAACTACCCAGACATCAAGCTAGTCACGAGTTGACTCAATATACCTCTCTATGGGCAAAGGAATCACTGCTGCTGCTGCTGCTGCTGTTGCTGGCGTTGTCTGTATGTGCTTGCAATAGCTGACCATGTCGTGTCATGTCATGTCGTGTCCGCTCTTGACACTCATTAGCCGGACTCGCAGCAGTGGCCGATTCGTATGCAGAGACAACGTCTCAATGGTGCATTGGACTACATTCAATCAGAATGAGTCGTAGTCCAGCTGTTGACTGCCGATCAGTCCAACAACATGCCCCACCGCCTGAGACCACCCTCTATTTGCAGCAACAGCAACAGCATTAGCTAGATCATTTAATTGAAATAATTTTCTATAATTAAACAATTAAATCAACAAATCAGCAAAATCAACGCCTGAGCTCTGTGAGTAATGGCATTTTGGCATCTCGCACACAGTTGAATCAACATTCGACCAAGTCACGAACCAATGACTCAAATATCACACATTGCACGAAATACATACACACATACCTACATACATCTGATTTGCAATTTAGACTACGATGCGTACTCGCTCTTCAAATAGGAATTACCTATCCTCTGATATAATTGGCACGGTTAGAGCATGTTTCGAATGTGTGCAATGAAAGCAAATGCTTTTATTATTTAGGTAGCTCTTGAAACATGAAGTGTCGCAATCGATAGAGTTTCCAAATTTCCTTGGCAAGAAAAACCTGTTCATGTTTAAAATCAAGCAATCCTCTAATTATAGAACTCCATCTGTCTTACACAATAATGTGTTTAATCTAAAAGTATTTAATATTTATATTATATAATCATACTGTTATACTGTTGTTATACTGTAAACCTGTTATACTGTAACACTTGTTATATTGTAAAACTAGTCTATACCGATAATGCAAAGCTGTTATACTGTTAGGCTTTTACGGCGTAAAACTGTCATACTGCAGATTTCTATACTGTAAATCTGGTATTCTGTAAATATATAATACTATAAATTTGTTATACTACAAAAACTGTTATACTGCAAAAACTGTTATACTGCAACTGCTATACTGTTAAAGGGCAAACCAAACCTAAGTACTTTTTTGAGCTTTGAGGCTAGTAGTAGAAAGTAAGTAGATCAGTTGGTTGTCAAACTCAGAGTATTTCAGTTTTATTGATCAGCAAACTGTCATTTTACATAGCATCTAGTTTCATTTAAAATTTTTTGTATAGTCAAATACGTTCAAAAAAATTATATAAAAAAAAAAAAAAAAAAAAAAAAAAAAAAAAAAAAAAAAAAAAACCGAAAACCAATATTGGCTCATCGCAGTATATAAATTTATAAATATATATATTTGGCGATATCTATATATAGATACATAGCTATATATCTGTATATGTACCTATGTTTATATATATGCATTATTTCGGTCCAAATTCACTGTTTGTAACATGTTGGGATTGCGGCTGATGCTGCATATGTTATTGCTATTCCATTTGCAATTGCGCAGCTTTGGCTCCACATCAACGGAGGCACCCTACGAACCGGTAATGCCAGAACGTTGTAAATATTTACAGAGCTCCACTGAGGTAATGTTCCAGATGTGCAAGGGGAAATTTCCGCTGGTGGCCTACACGAAATTCCGTGATACATTCATGAAGCAAACGGATCGCATGGCGCTCTTTATGCCGAAATCCTTGGATCATATTTTGGTGTCCTTGAAGGAGTCTCAGTTGCACTACTGTCATAGCATCCAGGTCCTCGAGGTTAACCTGTACTTATGCTTTGACGAGTTCGGTGGCAAGCGAACTGTCAAACTACGATCGGCCCGAATGTATTGCTTTCCGTTTCACATCCAGCTGACAGATGATTTGATGCACGAGTGTATACTGGAGCGTGATGGTGTCTCTGAATCAGAACTGGAGGCGAACACGTTGCTAACGAAGCGCGGCATCATTCACTACACCTTCGATAATGATTCATCCGTTCGCTATATATTGCCAAAGCGAAATGCCATAATCCAAATGCTAATCGCGTTGGCAGTGCTGTTCTATTTTTAAATATGGCGTATGCGGGAGAGGTCGAGATAGATTGGATGGGTAAGCAATAATCAACGGGCGTCAGGATCAGGCACGAGTCAATGAGTAAGCGAACTCTCCACAAAGAAGCACAGCAGCGAATACGTTCCAACGAACCACACAGCGAGGGACACATGGAATTTTAATACACTGAATAGCAATATTGTAAGTAACGAAAGAAAAGCAAGGCAATCTGTGAATTGTGAATAAAATTGAACGAGCTGTCAACAGCGCATGATTGCATATTTTTAAATCGAGTTTTTTATCTATGTCGGGAAACTAGCAAATAAAAAGGCGGAACAGCGAGTAACTAGTCAACAGCGAGTCTCAGGCAATGAGGCAAATGCTACGAATTGCGCTAAAAGAGTGTCAACTGTAACGAGTAGTAGGCATAAAGAGTTTTACGTCAAAAAACTAACGAATAAATTTTAGCGAGTAGAAAGAAAATGCTTAAAACAGCTTCAACATTGAGAGAAAGTAACGAGTACATTTCAGCTCTCGCTCTAGTTCGAGAAATGATTGAATTGCAAAGAGAGGCGAGGCGAATGATAGTTAGAAAGAAGTAACGAGTGAAGAGTACCAAGTGAAAAGTAACGAGTGAAAAGGAGCGAGGGAAAAAGAGCGTGTGAAAAGGGCGAGTGAGAAGAAGCGAGTGAAAAGTAGCGAGTCAAAGGAGCGAGTGGAAAGCAGCGATTAACCTAAATCAACGAGTAGATGAGGCGAGCATGAAACAATAGTTGCAAATGTAACGAGTTACAGAACGACAAGCCTGCTGTCAGCTGCCACTAGCCGCTTGCCACTTGCCATTTGCAGAATTGGCAACGACGAGCTGCACTCAGCTCGTATCTAAAATCTCGCTCTCTGTTGCCCCAAACGTCGAAGCGTTTACCAATTAAGGGTCGTAAATATTTATACGCATCTACCCATATTCCGGGCCATTGTGTGCCAGGCCAGGCCATTAAGATTGATCGGGCTCAACAGCAGTTCGGCTTGAACGTAAAGGGAGCTAAGCGGAAGCGCCGCAGTCGGAACAAGTTACATGGAATGCATTCAAGCGAATATCTTTCTGTTCTGTGCAATTTTCTTGTGTTGTCGCGTAATATTAATATCAATATTGTCCATGCATGCTAAGTATTTATTTAGTGAGCATTAAAAAGCATCTCATAGCATCCATTTTTGGGCTACGTGCACAATATCAACGTATTCACATCGGGCACGCCTCCACCCTCTGTGAAGACAATGCACAGAAATCGCCTTTAGTGGAGCTCACTCACATCACGTTGCATTTGGGAAGTCGGTCACCTGCGTCTGGCGTGCGTATCATTTCCATCTATACACACACACACATATATATATTGTCTATATACATATATACTGTAGCTCCAATTTCCAATTTCAATTTCCATGCCCCATTCAGGCGATTAGCGGTTCGATGCAAGGAAAAGCCTTGGCGCGTGCATTGCCCTGAGGCGAACAGCGCTACGGGGGCAGGGTTAGCAGGATTCGACTGACGACGCCAAATTTGAATGCGATCGCCGAGAGTTGTTGACACATCGCGCTTGGCCACAATTTGCATGCAGCAAGTCCGCAAATGCCGTTGCGTGGCCTCCTCGCACAGTGCTCCACATGGGAGCGTGTCGAGAATTAAATGTTTAGTAATCTCTTTTTAACTGCTAGTTAAATTCGACAGCGGAAGATGTCAATGTGGCACTCTGTTAAATGACAGCAGCCTTGCTTTTATTAACATCAAGGCGTTGTCAACTGCTTGTTAACTTTGACACGAACATAACGAGTTGTCCACATGGAATGCCGATAAAACACAGCCACACTTAACTTATATTGACAACAGGCCGTTGACAAGCAGTTTAATCTAAGTTCTGTGTCGCAATCGATTTTCCTTAAGAGAAGCGAATGAAGGCTTTGAATATTTTCTTATGCGTAAGCAAACGCCTTTCTATTTCAAGTAAGATTTGACAGCAGTAATACAAGCTATTATTATTGGATAGTTTAATGGCAGCTTATTGTCAAGTGCTTGTTGACTTTGACAGCAGCATAACTAGAGTTAGGTATGTAGATATATTATTAGCTTTTTGAATAAACTGTGTAGTTTGACTGTAGCAGAGTTTATTCTGGCATAAAATTCTTGACAAGCTGTTAAATATAGTTTCTCTGTAATCCTTAATTATCGCTTAGATAGACAGAAATTGATTGTTGTCTATGGGTCAACTTTGAACAAATGAGTAGAAGATCTCTCGGGGAATCTTTTTTGATTGTAATCTAGCTAGATATCTTTAAGGAACGTCGACAGGGCACAACTTTATTCAACTGTTGTTCAACTGTTATATCACTGTTATTGGCAGGCAGTTTAATATAGTTAGTTTCTCTGTAACAAAAGAGTATTGTTTTACGAAAAAAAACTCTACCAGATATTCACAGAAATCTAAGACTTTGCAAACTATCAACAGCTGATAAAATTAATCAAAAGCCAAGGCACAACATTTAACTGGCAGATAAATCTGATAACTCGACATCAGCTATCACTTGAAGAGCCGTAGCCATGCAAATGGACATTGAACCACTGTGCCTATTGTCAAAGACAATGCAAACAGCATCCACAATTGAGCAAGCCACGACGAAATGTTTTCTTCAGTTGCGTTTTTTTTTTCTCGTTCAGATCTGCTTATTTGCATGTCCAGTGCTCAATTGTTGTTGTTGTTGTTGTTGCTGGTGGTGGTGGTGGTGGGTTTTGGTGTTGGTGTTGTAGCTGTGGGCGCATTTCAATTTCGAGCGCTTTTCAATTTCAATTTTTGCCGCCCGCTGTCAATTGTTTGTCACGTGTACGCCGCAATCGTTCGCTATCCGGCGTAACTGGCACACTCGAGTTCAATCGAATGCCACACACAGCAGGTGATGCTGTCGCTGCCGCTGCCGCTGCCACTGCCGCCGGATCATTTGGCCAGTTGGTCAGGTAATTGCGCAAATGCGCAATGCAAACGAATTGCCAAAGCCATTTGCATAAATTTCACTTGCATGGAGAAGGCCGTACAGGGAACACTCCACACTTAGCACTCCACAGTCGGTCACTCGATGGCGATTGCGTAATGCCAGCCGCCACTTGCCACTTGCTACGTACTACTTGCTACTTGCCACTTGCTACCTGGCATTTGCCACTTGCAGCATCAACTGCTGGCTCAGCTTAGCCGTCATAAACATAAACAATGATTAGGCGGCTGCTGCTGCTCCTCCTGCTGATGCTGCTGCTGCTGCTGTTTGATGGCCCATTAAAACGGTTTCCAGGCCCCCAAACTGCCCAAAGTCCAAAAAACCCATTTCGATTCTCATTCCCAGTCGCAGTGGCAGTGCCTGAACTGCGGTTCAGCCAACTCTATTATCAATTAATTAGTCAAATTCAAACACAACTGTACCACTCAAGCAGAACGACTCATTAAAGTCAGCTTAAGTTTTTATTGCTCTATAAAAAGCACTCATAAAACAAAATCGATTTACTTATTAATTATTGCATTTAATTATCAAATATTGATAATCATCTATCTAATTCCAATGGAGCTCGTTCACATGCCACATTCGCAAAGTCTGCGTGTGGGTCTCGACTCAAACGTTTATATCCTGTGAGATATGGTACATAAAATGTGGATCGAGCAACGATCGGTAATGGGATCGTATGCTCAACGCTTAGGAATAGGTATTACTAGCTATTTTTAGAGGAATGATGTTTGTTGATATTAATTTGTAGGAATTACGTTCTCCATATTTGGGATTTCAATGCAATAGGCGATCTTCTATGGAGCCACGATTATTATAGCGCATGATCCTTCGAGTGAAAAGAATTTGGTTTAAAATGAGTTCATCTAATACTAAAAGCAAGCTCAGCGCATTCTTACTCTTACTCAAAAAAGTTTCGAGATTGATGAGTTCTCAATTAAATTCAATCAGAGAAAGAGGAAACAAACTCTAGCTGTATCAAATGAGTATTTTGTACATTATATTATTTTTTATAAATTTTATTTTCATTTAAATATATTTATTATTATATTATTATGATGATAATATCTAAATATATTATATTATTCACAATTTTTCACTCGTCTAACACCAAAATATACACACAAAAATAGCTAATGATGGATGGCATTCATTATATTATACTATGTGTGACAACTTTAACATCTAAAGATCTCGAGATTCATAAGAGTTCAGACAGTCATATACCAAAAACCTTAAGTCCTACAATTTGACAGAAATGAAAACAAATGAGTAACATTATCTAAAATTAGGAGATTAAATTGGCATTACTTACAAGACGAAAGGAAAACAAAGAACGTATTGAAAATAAAGCATACGCGGAAAAAAAGAAACAGTAGAAAATGTTCAAGATACATATACATAGGTAGATTCACGTACATATATCAAGTTGTCAGGCAAATCGAAAGAGGCGACAGAGCTGCAAACTTGTCTATAATTAAAACATTTCTTAAGGGGCCCAGAGGTCGCGGCAGCAAAACAAATCATGTCAGATATCAACTAAAACAATAAGCGCCAATAAGCAGACAAAGCGAATGTGCAGTTACCTTAACGGTGAAGCGTAGAGAAAAACATAAATAAAATACCTTAAACTAAGAGGGACAAAAAATGCCGACACCAAAAAAAAAAAAGTTAAAAAAAAACCTGGCCAGTTCTCGACAAATCGATTTGTTGCTGTTGTTGTTGACATCTGAACTCTGGACCAGAAAAAAATCTTCTTTTTGGGCTTTATAAGTTGTTGTTTTTTTTGTGAACTTAAAGTACCGTAAGACTTTGATAAAGACGCAGACGACAGGTGTAGTCTCTAACTAGTTAGCTAACTCCTCTCGCTCCCGCGCGCGTGGTCTCTCCCTCTCTCTCTGTGCCTCTCATTCTCGCTCCCTCTCTCTCTCTGTCTCTCTTTCTTGGTCTATTGTCAAACGAAATATTTGTAACAATACAATTTTCGAATGTCTGGCGGCTTTTGTTCGGCTTGTTGTTTTGGGGCGGCAATCTGTTCGTTGACATTTATCAAGCTGAAGCTAAAGGAAAACAATAAGAAATACACACAGATATATATCGCTACAACTATATAGCCATACGCGACTGATTTCAATCGCCGTAAAGCGTAAGGTGTAAAGCCCATCCCCCATTTCCAATCGATTCGCTTGGGTATTACATTTGAAAGCTATTTAAAGCGTCTTTTTGGCAATATATTTAGAAACAACTTAAGCATGAACAGCATGATGAAGCTCCACGATCATCACAATCATTATTATCATGATTAGTTAGTATTGATATTGTCATTATGTAGCTGCTAGTTATTGTTCGTTTTGTGAATTATATCATCGATATAGAAAAAAAAGCCGACTGTAAATAATAAACGCACAAAAAATATAAAGGGCAAAGCAGTTTACATTTTGAAATTGATTTCATTTTGCTTATTTATCATTTCTATTTTTTCTCTCATTTTTTGTTTGTTGGTATTTTGCAAATAATAAAATACCAAAGAAAACTTTTAATAAAATCTGCTTTTGATAGCTATTTTTGGATGTCTATGTCTATGCCTATGTCTTAGCCTGCAGACATCTTTAACGTATGCAAATCTGAGCGATTGAAACAGATATCTCCTCCTCATATTCATCTGTTTCTTCTCCAACGATTGTGTGCAACAAGTGAATACAAGTGAGCTCAAAGTGAAAGAGGCGCGATAGAACAGAAATAGATCTAAGCTGAACAGCATATAGAATATGATTTGCTTTCTTTGATAGATGAATAGGCTTAGGTTCAACATTAAGCTGCTTAAATTGACTGAATATATACATATGCTGATATGTATTTAAGTATATATATACATACAAATGGATATCCCTCAAGTGATTGTGTTGCCTATAGATTCTCAAAACCTTGATTCATATAATTTGATAGATATTGGTTTTTCGTATCAGAATGAATAGAATTTAGCTGCTTTGATTTCTAAGATACTAAATTAGCCTATTCCATGACGTAATATATGTTTACATATTGTAATGGACTCAATCGTACCTTTGTTTACTTTGTTTTATATAGCTAGAAATTTGTTTCTAAATTGTTTAAAATTTGAAAGGTCTGATGGAAAATACATATTTACAGGGTAATTCAAACTCTGTCAAAATGTGTAAAAAAAATTATGTCATTTCTGTTTATTGGGTCTGTTCTTTGACTGGAAATACTTTTAAAGATTATTTATTATTATTTATTATTTATTATTTATTATTTATTATTTATTATTTATTATTTATTATTTATTA